CAAAATACTTCTACTGCATACTAAAGTACAATGGCTGTCTTGAGGAAAAGTATTTATACTATTGAGTTGTGAGCTAAACAATTAATAGCTGTCTTTTTAAATGAAACCCTGAATTTACATCAAAGAATAGTTGATAGACAAACCATGCTTAATCAGACTTGCCTATCTGGCACACAGCACCTCAGATATGAACCACATGAACCTGTTACTTCAAGGAAAACAACTGATAATATCTGTTGTAATGATAAATTCAAGCTTTTAAGTAAACATTAGAATTTTGGAAAAATTGTATTTATACTCTTATCTTAACAGCTTCCTAATACTCAGAAATTTCTCTTACGAGATCAGTGGCAATATTAACAAATATAATTTTTAAATATTGAATAATAAATTATGCCAACATTTGGAAGATCTACATAACTCAGTGAACCTATATTTTTCAAGTCACCAATGCATGATATCGCAACATCCATTCAAACTGCAAGTAATTAGAGCATAAAGAATTCATCGATGTGGTTTCAGATTCCACATTACTGCTAACCTTTAAGGAACTCCTACTTGCCAAGTTCTGATATAGTATCAAAGAAGAATACCCACAAATATTCTGAATAGGTCATTAAAACTCTCCTCACTTTTCCAACTATATCTCTTTGTGAGGCAGAATTTCCTTCATGTACTTCTACCAAAACAACATATTGCAACAGATTACTTAAGCAGATATATGAATCCAACTCACTACTACTTAGACAGACATTATAGACTTAAAGACATATAAAATAATGTTGCTCTTCTCATTAATCTTTTTTGTTTTGGAAAATATAGTTATTTTTCATAAAATGCATTATTTATGTTAACATGTATTGAGTTCTTTATTGTTCTTTTAAAATAATTTAATATAGATTTAAAAACATTTTCCTCAGTTTTAGTTTCTAATACAGTAAGATTGATAGGTATAATCTCAATAAATAAAGAGCTCTTTGGTGTCCCAATAATTTTTGAGAGTGTGATGTGATCTTGAGATCAAAGAGTCTGAGATTTGTGGTCTTGAGAGAGTGATCTTTCAATGTATTCTAAACTTGTTTTTATTTCTTGGTCCCTCCCACAGTGTGTCTTTTGTGCCCATTATAATAAAAAGAATATTTACGAAAGGGTTGGAACCTGGCATAATATTATAATATTTGTATAATATTTGGGAAGAAAATAGTTAAAAAAAGCAAGCATTGCCAATTGCAGTCTATTTTTTACACGTATTTCTCTATAAGTCATTTCTATTAACCGTGCTTTGCTATAGATGTTTATAACAAAACATTAAAGACTGAGTAGAAAGAAGAAAACAAATTACTCTGCAGAGAACCCAGAAACTCTGCTAAAATACTGTCAGTTATTTATCTACTGTCAGCAGAGGTTGCACACTATAATCCTTGACAAGCTCAGATTCAGAAGGAATGAGGAGAGGGGGCAAGCATTGCATTTAAGGGCCTGTTCTCATGCACAGACATTTTAACACAGATTTAAAGCCAGAATGTATCTTCTAGAAAATGTCACTTTTGATTTTGATACATATTCTAGCAAGTAGGCTCTACATTTGGTTGACTTAGTACGAGATATGTTAGAGGCTAACACTATATTTTAGACCATTCATGATCCCAGCGTGGAACTAACACAATGAGGTCAGCATCACTTCATTTTTAGAGTTGGCTACCGCAACTGCATGATTTCATGGGCATATTTTTTATGATAAGGAGGAGGGTTTTATTTTTGTTTTGTCAGGCAAGGTAATGACAGGGTGTAAGAACCCTATTGCCCTCTTCAGTGTTCATTTCTCCTTTATGTTGTTAGGGGAAACAAGCATCAATGCATTCTCCTGTCCTGAAATACCTTCTCTCTGGAAGAGATACATGGCCAAGGTAAAACTGCAATGAACTGAAAAGCTTCCTGCAGCCTACTCTAAAGAACCCCCCCTTTGCAAGCAGGGAGTTCAAGTTGCTCTTAATACCGACAAGAACATGTGAAACACAAGGATGGGGAAAGCTCAGCCTAAGAGGGTTGAATAAGAAACACAACCCTGCTCATTTCTAGGAGAAACCATAGTTTCCTTCAGAATACAATTCGTATTGACTGGTCAATTATATGATTTCCACCCATACGATCAGGGGTCTAAATAAATGTGTGCTTGTAGCTGGGGATGTTTGATGAATGCTGAACCAGAATCTTAATTTTCTAATTCATATTCACCAATTAAAAATAAACTGTATTTTTATGAGCAAATTTACATAAATCAGATGATAAAGCATCTACCAGTAAAGGGTAGGAGTTCAGCTCACAATATTTGCATAAATTCTCCTAAAGAAAATATAGGCGTTTTTAGATTTTCATTGAAGAGTCTTGCTGCGTTGGAACTCTAATGGGCTTAGAACAGTAAATTTTGAAGAAACTGATTGCTACCCCTGTAGCTAGTAAATGTCTGCCTAGACCCAGTGGCATTTGAAAAAAGTGTTTTATCATAAAATTATCCCAGCAGAGTCCATTCTGCAAGATAACATCATCATCATCATCATCAGTACTCCATGCAGGACCCAACAGCTCTGGCACAATATTGCCAGTCATTTATCTGTTGTCAGCACAGGTTACACACTGTAATCCTTGACTGCCTCGGAATTAGAATGTCTTTGATGTCCCCACAAGAGTTTTTTGCCCGAAGGCTTTACCAATGCTCGGCGGCTCAGTGTTTATTCCTCGTAATCTTCCTCTCATCTCCAGGCTAGCAGTGACAGATGGTTATGGGCACACAATAGTATTAAGAGTTTGATATTTTTTTTTTATGCTGTGCTCTCTGTACAACAAATAGCTATCAGACGCGGGCCAGAGAGCTGACATGGCTCGCTTAGGTAATGGCAAACAAACAGCTCGGGTTGATGCTTTCTGTCATTTCCCCTCCTAACCCTGCTTGTTTTCATTGTATACTCTCAAAGGTAAACTATATTAACCTTATAGACTGTTATTAAAAAGATATATCTATATGAGCATAAAGTGCTTTTCTTTTCTCTTTTTCTTACTCTTTTGATTATGAAAGTAATACTGCTGACATATTGAACAAATATCGAATGTCAACATAAATTTTTAGTGTGTGATAATATCCCCCTTCATATAGCTGTGTGTCAGGCGGGAACTCGCGGATGATGCATAGCAGTAAATAACCCAAACAAAATTAGTTCTCTTGTCAGCTTCTACCTTGTATGTCCCCAGGCATCAGTAAAATTGACTGCACGCTAGATTTTCAAAATTAGCCCTAATGTTAGCTATGTGTCTGGCAACCTCCAAGTTTCCAATGTTCTACTATATTACCCGTAAGGATGAATGTGTTACTTTTATATTTTGGCATTTACTCTTGCTGATGCGGCTTTTTTCCCTCTTCTCCAAATTAAAAATAATTTAGCTTTAACAATAAGAATGTGCACAAACATAATGCTGCATCTCTTTAAGCAACTAACTTTAGGCAATTAAATTAAATTAAAGCAAAAATATACAAAGGAAGAGAGGGAATTATTCAATTTAATATTGTTAATTTTATTAACATAGCTGTCTTATTTTGTGCAAAGTACTGAATAACATGGTTCTCACTCTTTCCTCCATATTGCTGTTTTGTAACAGCAGTCTGCAAATTATTTAACATTTTTTATGATAACCCAGAACCAAACTTTTTAGAACTGATTTTCTTGCAATAAATATGACTTCAGAGACCACCAATGGTTAGCAGAATAAAAGCAAAGGCTTTTCGGAAGGGAGTAAATGATGACATCTATTTTACCTTGAAACAGGTTAATCTCATCCAGAGCCCTTGCATTTTAAAATAACATGAAGGAATACTAAGAACTTTGTCACATTCTAAGTCAAATATGATTTAAAAATAAATGTTACTCCCTTAGAAAGGCTCTGCTGGAAGTGTGAAGTTGAACAAACAAATCCAAAAACACATTCCACATCAACTTTCAATCCCTAAATTTTACGTTCGTACATTTAGAATCAAAGATGAAAATCCCTTTAGGTACCAGATGCTGCAGATCACTGGGAGGGCTTCTGGAGTTTTAATGTGCTGGAAGTCAAATCCTCGGCAAAGGCGCTTTGCCCGGCCGGTGTAGTGTGCTTATTACTTCACCTGCAAACAGTTGCTCTCAGAAAATCGGACCTAATGATCAGCCCAGCATCTCTGCAATAAAGAGACCATAATCTGTGGGGGAAGTGAACTCTAATCAGGCCACATGCAGATTAAACTAACTGGGAGGAATAAAAACTAGATTAAAATGTTCATGCCTAATACCAGAAGATTATCAGGACATTTTACCTCTTTAAATCCTAATTTATAGGAGCCAGGGTTAAGTTTATGAGTTTATATTTGGTGGGATTACACACCACAGTTGATTTTCCTCTGTTTAGAAAAGATTCAGCTAGATAGAAAGTATTTTGCTTAGCACAATACAGAGGCATTGGGGTGAAGGGAAATAGTTTCAAATGTACTGATACAGATCATGGTAAGTAAAATAAGGGCACCCAGCTGAAACTGGTCAAAGTAGTAAATAATGGAAATTGTTCTTATTTCATGGTAATACTGCTTTATCAATGTGCATATATGAAATAGTTTTGTGATGATTGCGTATGTGTGTATATATATAAAATACATATAAAATTGAATCCTATTCTTATACCTTGAAACTTCTTGAATAAGATTTGATTTCCTAGAAGTGCCTAGCTACTGTTAGTTGAGCAAAACACTGCAAATAATTATCTGCAATTCAAATTTAATCTAAGCACACAACCATTCATGTAAAGATATTGAGTAGTACCACCTCGGCACCACATAAGTAGTACTACCACAGTAAACTAACCTTTTTTTTCTAAAGCTATAGCAACAGCAAATTAATAAGTCAATCATCAGTCAATCATATTTTCTATTACCAGGTCTATGTCTACAACTTTTACTAAACTAGCATGTCTTGACTTACCACCTGTGAGGCCAGACAATGTGTAGTGGTCTTTGGTGATCATCAACTCCATCCAAAATGTCACATGGATTAAGAGTCAGATCTTGTTTATTTTCCCCATGATGAGAGCTTGAATTATCTGATGAGTTGGACTTTTTCAAGTCTGACTCCTGCATTAGTGAATTACCCAGATTGCCTTGCTGTGCAGGATCAAGGCCAGCGGGTGCACTGTACTCTGAATTAAAATCCTTCAATAAATTCCTGGAATCTCTCTGCTCTGGTTGAAACGGAAGGTCCACGGATAAAGCAGCACCACCATTTCTTTTAAGGCTGAGCATCTTCTTTAAATGGGTTGTTTTGTGCTTGGGCATGAATCTGTTACAAAAAGGGAATGCAATGTACTTTTAGTGGAAAAAAATATGCAAAATTTGTCCTTTACCTTCCTGTAAAGACATAATGATTATATATAAAACTGAGAAAAAATAAAGATGCTATAACAAAAATTCTAGGAAAAGTGCAAGAAGTAGTGGCCACTAAGAGAAAGTTCAAAAGTTTGAAATCAGACCAGGCTGTTTTTGAATGGTTTCTAAAGAGTTTCTATGGCTATAAATCCTGCACTGCAAATACCATAAAACATAAGATTCGAGAGATGCTTTCTCACTCTCCCATTACTCATTTTGTGTTTTCCAATCACCAAACAGCTCAGTGCTTATTTTCAAGCCATACTTGTTCATTAACCTACAAAAATGTTTATACCTTTCTTGATTAACACTTGCCATTTCTGCTCAGTACTATTCTGTATTTCTGGCACCTGCAATACTTTTTATTAAATTGACCTCATCAATGTTTCCTAAAGTATATTTTAATATCTTTTCATTATCATCTTCCCCTTATATTCCTATACTTTATCATACAGAGTTTAAGATCTGATACTTATCGACAGAGAATCTAAATAAAGCGAAATCTTAAAAAATTCTAATATAACTTAAAACTTGTGAGTCATATGTACAAATAGAGGATTTATCCTCAAGGAACTCACCATCTTTTGGGGAGCAAACCATTAGTGCTTAGAATAGAGCGCGAGACAGACATGTGAATGGCCAACTAACCTATGTAGGAACATACTATGCACACAATGGACACTCCAGTTTTTTAAACCAAGGTGAGCAAGAGATTAATGCTGACTTGGGGATCAATAAAGGCTTAAAGAGGGTTGTAGGTGAAGCATCTTTCAAGGCAGGGAAGGGAAGTTCTGGAGTGAGAGAACAGTGTGATTAAAGAAAAAGGGGTGTGAAGGAACTCACACTCTTTGTGGAATAACATACAACCTGAAGAGGCTGACGCAGGTCTAGGACGTGAAGTCTGGAGGGGTAAACTGGGCCAGAGGATTAACTGAGTGCTTTCTGAGTTCCTGAGGCCCATCCAGAGACTTGGGTCCTCCTCCGAATTGTTGAGTAAGTAAAGAATAGAGAATACAGGCACTTAGGAGGTAGGTGGGAAGGAAAAACTATGGAAGGAGAGCAAAAAGGAATATCTAAGAGAGTAGAAAGAAAATCCAAGAAAGTAATATGATACTATTGAAATGAATCAAGAGCCCTCAAGGAATGTGTAAAACGGGAATCAAGAACCCTAAAAGAATGTGTAGAAGGGGGCGTAAAACACTGCAGAGGTGCTACAGTAGCACGAACAAGCTTTTGGCCTTGTCACACCATGGTCACTGGCCACTGCGGTGAGCAGTCCCTGTGGAATGGCACAGGCAAAAACCAGACTGTAGGAAGTTAGTGTGTGTGAAAGTCAGAGAAGGGGGCAGACAGAAGGAGATGGAAGAGGAGAAGGGAGAGGAAGGTAAGGCTGTATTTTTTTTAAATGGGGCACATGGACACAGGATAATTCACTTGGGGACACTTGCTAGGGACGTAAGCAGGATCCTGAAGCAATGGAAAAGTCTTACAAGATGGAAGTAGAAAAACAACGTATGTTATAGTGCAGGATTCTCGGCATGGGGGAGGAGGGGATGCAGGGCCTTGTAAAAGAAAATAAACCTAGCTTTCTTGCAAAGCGGAGGCAAGAAGGAGAGAAAAATGAAGCCAACCCCCCCCCCCAACAAATGAACCAGTTTTAAGTGGCAGGTGTGGAATCAAAGGAGTTGTGTCACTGAAGTGCTAGGCCAGGTCAACTATTTCAGGTGAGGTGAGTAAAGGTGGAGATGGGGTTTAAGAAGCGAGCTGAGGGACTGGAACAGTCACTGCAGAGACAGGGAGCAGGCACAGCTAGGGCTGAGAACAGGGGCCAGAGCAACACTCGGCACAGTGCGTCCACGGGAGGAAGCTGGAAACACAGTCTTTGGCTGTAGCATCCTATGCACATTCCAGAATCAGAAAGCTTGTTTGGGGGGCAGGGGAGGCTTCTGTGTTTGTTTCAATAAAGCCTTTAAATGTCTATTTTGATTTCAGATACCTTGAGAAAAATCAACAGAATATGTAAGAATCCTCCAAGTAATAAACAGATGATTGTATAAAGAGAGATAAAACACAAAGAATGACACTAGCCCCTTAAGTATGCCCTAACTAAATAACAAATTTAGTCCTTACTTTAAAATGGAAAGAAACCTGGGCATTTACAGATAGGAGTTTCAGACCTCATATTAGGGGGACGAATCAACTTTCTCCTGAAACAAATTCAAAATACCGAGCAAATTCTAAGGATCTAAAACACGACAACAAAAGTTCCCACTAATCATGACAAAACGTAAAAAAAAAAAAAAAAATGATGATCACAATATCTTCAACTTCTCCTAAACAAACGGAACAAATGGTAAGAGAAGGAACATCTGTACATATTTAGAAAACAAGTGAAGTAACCTATTTGTTTGTGTCGGATAAAGAATGCCAGGCAAGCTTAAAAGGGATTTTAACAGAATTACAAAAGAGTGCATGAAGGATTCCCAATAATAAAAAAAAAAATCAATGGGCATTGAAACAACATATCTTCATTTTAGAAAACAGTATCATGACCCATCTTACTCATAAAATCCATTTATATTGGCCAGCATGTGAGCAAAACAGCAAATTAAAAGAGACAGGAGATTGGCTAAAGGGTTGTAAACAATGGGAATTGGTAACTGACAAGGAATTTAGCTGTGGGCAAGGTGCTAGGCTTGCTTTTATTCCACACGTTTCCTAAATGTTCTCGAGGAAAAATAGAATCTCGTGTTAACACAGGTTGCGGATGACTGACTTGATAGGTGGTAGCGAATAAGGACAGGGCATGCGAAGATGCATAATAAAAACAGGGACAGTAACCAAAACAGCTTGCGGATCTCACGAAATTGAAAACAATCAAAATAAACCTTGAATGCAAGTAGGACACATGGAAAAACACTTTTAGCCCATCCTGAGTTTGACAAGATGAGCAAGTGCTGATTTGACCCAGCGAACTGATGCCACTTAGTCCAGGATCCTGTCGTACAGGGAAGGAAGATACTAAGTCTGCCGGGATAGAATATTGTGCAAATGCTGAGTTCATCTAGGGCACCTAAGAACTGTGTATGTTCGAAAATTAGAGGGTTCTTAGCAGAGCAATAATCATGATTAAGGCAATGGAAGAATTGATTTATGAGGACAGATTAAAGGAGCTAAATATGAATAGCCTGGTTAAGTGACAACTAGAGGGGTACATAATAGGAGTCTCTAAGGAAAAAGAATAATTATTTAGCCTGGTACAAGGGGGTATAACTAGGAGTAATGAGATGAAATTAAGAATGGGAAAATTTAAGCTGAATTTCAAGAAAAACTCCCTGATGGTGTAATTTATTAGCTCATGGAATAAATCCCCCATGGAAATGCTATGGCTAGGGAAACTTAATAACAGAACTGGACAAAATACCAATAAATAATATAGATAACAATCCAGTACTTGAAAGAAGGTGGCTACAAGCTATGTTTTCCTTGTTTATAACATCTTTTCATATTTTTCTGTACTAGTTTATTTATTATAGTGATTATCACCAAAAGAAATGTTTAGGCAATTAGCTGAATCTAACAGGATCCTTCCTTTAGTTGGGGAAAGTTAAAAACACTTTAGTTCTCATATACTTTGCAGCAAGAATGAAAGCAGAAGCTGAAATAATTTTTTACTACTTTGTTTCAATAGAGCTGGTCTTGAAGCAGGCTGGACAAATGTATTAATATTTCTAATAACATACAAAACCAAACCTCATCTACCATCCCACACAGAGTCTACTCTGATTCTCTATGCCAGGAAACTAATATTTTCATAGATATGTTTAATATAAATAATTTATTGCCATAATAGAAATCAAAAAACTTTATTTCAGCTTTTCTAAATGTAGCTCTATGGTCAATTACTTCACATCAATACCAAGATCAAATAGGCATAATACTAACAAGCAGTTTGCTTAATAATAGTCACCACACTAATTAACCCATACAGAACATTCTTAATCAGACACTATTTATAATATACAGTTAAGAGAAGCCTGGCAATAAACTGTTCTATGCTGAAAAAGAAAATAATACCTTATTGATGGAGTGAAAACTGGCTATTCTATAGAACTGGACAGAATGTTTGTGATCTGGCATTAACTCAATGAAGTGTCTATGCAAATGGGCACATGTCTGAACACTTCCTTTCTCTTCCCCAGCTCCCAACTCCAGTGGAGGTGCTAATGAGAAGAGAAAAGGTCCTGAGGTAAGGAGTGAAAGAGAGAAAAGAAAGAGTCAGAAGAAAAACAGTGAGTTGCCTTTTAGAGCACACATCAGGTTTGCCATTTATTAATAATAACCTCTTTCATTTTTCATAAAGAAATGCTACTGCCCATCTTACCCACAGAACATCTCTCTGTTTCCGAATCTCTCAGAAGCTCCATCAGAACCTGTTTCTACTTTTAGAAATATTCTGATTTTTACAGTAATCATTTCCAAACTGTTGTCAGCCATGGGACCCATGCACTCAACTTTTTTCCAACCGATAGTCAATATGTGAAACAGAAACACACAGCCTCCCTCCTGCCATCTCTCCTCTCAAACTCCCTTCCTCCCACCCTCTGTTCCCCAACACGGTTTTGGAGGCACTGCCAAAACCCCCCATACTATGCTGAGCAATGTTTAAAGACACAGCTGGAACAAGTATTCTCTAGACCTAAATTTATATCCCTCCTATCCTCTGCACGTCCAAACACACAAACCTAGAGCTGTATCTATAGGAATGGCTAAATGCTTTATCGGATATTTGGTGGTTGATGTTTTTTTCTTCTGTCATCCATATCAGCCTTGAACCATATCTTCTGTCACATTTTTCACAGGTTCTCCTGATTTCTTTCAGAGTCCCTTTTGTCTGCTGATATGTCAACATTG